TCTGATATTTAACTTACCAGCAATGGATAGAATACTAATCAGTGCTACAAATGTTCCTCCAAGGCCCTGCAATGAGATATAAATATATAAATAAAACGCTTTATTTATTTTATTTGTATATTTATTCATTCATTTTCATATTGGACAGTAAATAATTAACTATAAAATTAATATCACCACCACTCCTTCTACTTGTACTTCTATACTATTCAAAGCTTGTGCAGCCTCTTCACAAGTGTCACCATTATATGATAACAATATAATGATAATGATGTCACTAAGGTCATCAAGATGATTAGGATATTATAAAATACATTGATGATTTTAATGATGTCATTGTTGTCATGATGATAATGATGATGATAAAATGATCAACATTGATAATGGTGTCATAATGATCATGAGGATAATAAGATGAAAATTGTACCAATAATGATGTTTTACAGTTTTTATATTATATAAATCCTCAAAATTATTTCCAGATATAATGGTATATAAACAGAAGTAGGAAGTGCATCACTTATGTCTTTTAAGTGGCAAGAGATATATTCTTGTCATTTTCATTTGAAGAAAGCTTATATAATATAAATTATGCATTTGGAATACAGTATACAATTAGGCGAGACTTTTTTGTACCTTGTTTCGCAAACTTATTTTTTAAAAGATCGTCAAAGGCAGGTGGAAACATAAAATAAAATGTTGTCTTATTTAGCAAAATGATTGTGGCAAAATTATTCAATGAGATGGTTAAATGCTTTAAATTTATAAAATTATGAAGAAATATACATATCTTATTTTTCAGAGATTTTAAGGTAGCAGTGGGCATAATAAAAATAAAGAAAAAATTTCATTTTTTTCTGAAATTTTTTTTTATGGTGGTGGGTGCGCTAATTGGTAAAAAAAAATATTATTTTTTAATATTTTATTCAAAATCATCATTATTGGTAGGCAGTGGGCTCACTAAACAAGGTATAAATAAAGTCTCACAACCTTATAAAGCAAAATAAAGAGAGTACTGCACAGTACTGTATATACATATAAATTGAACTGACCTGGCCAATGACATATCCTTGCATATAGCGTGATGGGAATCGTGCAGCAATTCCAAACATACCGGACTGATAGATTGCAGTGCAGCCTAAAAAAAAAAAATACGAACATATATTATCAGACAAAATTGATATGAAAAATAAAACACTTATACCTTATTTACATTAGGTAAACATGCTTTATTTATCTTCACTTAATTCATCAAACAAGGATGACACCAATCATGTTTTTATATGTTTAGTGGGAGGGTTTGAAGTATGCTGTGGTTCATGATCTTTAGTTTTAGGTCTAGAGTTTGGAGTTCGGTTTGAACCTCTTGCTTTCTTGAACAAGGCGCTAATCTATGTATTATCTCTTTACCCCCAACCCCCACCCAGAAGTAAAAACATGTTAATTACAAGACCTATGCAAGGGCCAGGCACAGTTTCCTATGAAAATAGATATTGAGAATCACCGGTCGGTTTACAATGCATCACATATTTGAGGGAAAAACTAATATAATAACTAGTAACAAGCATACTTACCATTAATTAAAACAATACTCGCCATTGTTACCATAAAGAATATACGTGGCCCTGTGAAGTGTGAAAAATAGCATTTAAGGCAATGTTCAGACACAACGAATTGTGCTAAAACAGGAAATATAGTGCGCGATTACAAATATGAATATTTCGCGCAAATACTGCCGCTAGCGTTCGTTAATCGCCCAGTCTGGACATCTCGCAAGTTACGCCACGGATTAACGTACACCTAGTGTATCTCTCAGTTCTGAACGTAGCCTTAGATGGTTAATTTGATGTTGAATTGCAAAAAGGAAACAAAACATATTGATGAAAATTTGGTAGAGCAGGAGCAGATCCAATAAAGGGAGGGGAAACATGCCTCCCTTCCCCTATTTTGCCACTACATTTTGTAATTTCAATACATACTAAGGCTATGTATTGAAATAAGGAAATATTGAATACAAATACAGGTGGGGGTTCAATATTTTATTACAGCAAGTAAAGTGTATGAAGTATATAAAGTTGATCATTACAAATCAAATCCAAATTGATATTGGGTTATTTGACATTGAGAAACAGACCAATTACAAACTTAATCATTCTTTTAAACAACTGTAGATTAACTATCTAGTGACATTAACCAATACCTCAGGCTCAACTATATTAATAAACATACTGCAATATCATTTCCCTTCTACCTGTCTATAACTGAAAGCTTTCGCAACCCCCTACCGTGCAGTTGTGTCATGCACACTTGCTGACGTCCTCCCCCCACCCCCTGCTAAGTGTACAACGTTCATTCATATCACGAGGGTTGAACTGACGTACTTTAATCACATGTCCAAACATTGAAAGCATTTTTGGCAATGAGCCAACAATAAATGCCAGCAGATGATTCAAAGAACACCGCATACACTTGTACAGGAGGAAGATAGTACCGTCAATCGTAAATGTTTACAACCATACAGTTGTACGCTCCTGTTATGGCTGGGCAGATATCCATTGGCATATCTCTGGTTAGTTGACATTAAATTTTTTTGATGACAGTCATAAAATAAACGATAACAACAGGGATACACACTGTACTATGGTAATGAACAGAAGGCGCCAAGTGGAGAATAAATTGTTGTTGAATATCTCTGTGCACGCAACAGGCTTTAAAATAGGTATTATAAACCAAAAATTAAAAAATAATAACAATGATGATGATGACAGATGTAAATAATGATTATTAATATTATCATGTCATTATGGTCATAATGATGACGGTGTCATAATGATCATTGTAATGAAGAAGAAAATAAAAATAATACATTGATGATGATGATGATTATGGTAGTGACATTAAGGTCATTGCAATGATGAAGAAAATAAAAATAATATATTGATGATGTCATATGGTCACGATGATAAGATGAAAATTATAATGATAATGATGATAACAATGATAATAATACAAAACAATTAGTAAAATGATAATAATGATGATGATAATAATATAAAAATATTATAAAATTATAAAATGATGATAATGATGATGATGCCATAATCAGCATGAGGATAAAGACATTTCTAATAGCAAAATATACTCACAATCATTAGTATCAATAACAGCAAGCAGCGTTGTGATTATAAACATGATGAAAAGTGCTACAAGCGAAATTGGGATATGCCATCTTGATGTTCTGTTGAAAAAAAAAAATACTTTGAAAAATGTATATTTTGTTGCTATTCTTTTATTTAGTGTCTTAGATGGTAAGTAAACTTTTGCACAACTTTATGAAAATGTGTGGTTTCACCACCACATTCTGAGTAAGCCCAATTTTCATAACTATTTATTAAGCATAATTTTTTTTCTTATGGATAGTAGACAGTTGGGGAGAGGTGGTGTCACTCCACACCGCTTCTTTATATACAATGCTGCTGAATGGGAAATAGAAATGATTTTAGAAAGAGTAGGATTAACTTACTTGTGTTGGAAAAATAATGATACAACCATAAGCGTGATATTCGGTGTGAATGCTGCTATACCAAGGTAGCTTACAAATTTATCCTTGTATCCAACATCTGAGCTAAGATTTCCAAATTTGTGATCGGTGAAATACTGCAACAAAATTAAAAGGCAAACATTTTTCATAGCAAAACACAATCTATTTGGTAGGGCTTTTTTCCATATTAAATATAGTACCAGATTTTGATACACTCACGATTTCTTGGGGCTGGATCAAAAAAAAAAGAAAAAAAGTCTGGATAAGGTATAGTCGATTGTAAAATAGAATGAATATGGGTACCCAAACTACATAGATAATAATAGAGATGAGATATCATCCAGTGCAATTAATAATTTTCTTTTCTCTTGCCCTTCTTCATTTCTTTTCATACCTCTCCTTCAGAGATGGAGGGTCGTATCCTTGCCTCCACCCCCGGATCAGCTCCAGATTCCATTTTTGCTCCCTAACCTAACGGTGGCTTATCTAGGTGGTGCAATAGGGCACACATTCAAGTAATATTCAAGCCCCCTAGTCTCCCCCTAAAAAAATCACTCCAGTAGTCTCCATTAGCCCCTCCATTGCAAGACCCCTAGATACGCCACTGTAACCCAAATGTCTGAAAAAAAAAATTTCTTACGCCTTCAGCCGTTATAAACATATTCCATGGCAAGAGAACACCAACACCATGCAGGACCATGATCCAGTACACTAAATTCCATCTGAAAGCCAAATGAACATTGTTTGAATCATCTATTCTGTAGTCTGTACACACATACAAAAAATAATCATGCATCACATGTGAATGTTAACAGCTGGGGAAGATCTGGGGTGTGTGGGGATGGGGAAATGGGACCTAGGGCTATGGTCAAGCTAGGGCTGTGGTCAAGCATTTCTAAACTTAAAATATCAAACACCACCACGTCCCTTCTTCATCCCCCAATTTTCAGTCCTAGGAAAGATGCCACACCCAGGGGAAACAGTCATGGCTCGAAAATTGCCTACCGGAGGAGGGGCTGGCATGTGCAATGGAGGGGGAACCTTACAGTAAGCCCAATGACCATACCCCTCTGCCACCGCCAGTGCGCATCATGTTATCCTGTCTGATTAGAACAGTGGGAAACGGTTACAAATTTATTGAAAGTAAAATTAAAAGGATTTTAATGTGAGGACTGCTTTGCACTATAGTACAAATACTATCATCAGTACCCTTTGAATACAATAAAACAACACAAAGATCATGTGTGTTGCATACACGTCAAGCCTCACGCAATCGGCATGAGACTCGCGTATTCGAGGTCTGTCTCGCGCTCTCACGGTTAAGGACCAAAATCTCAAATAAATGTAATATTGCCTATAGTGAAAAATATATGTACAATTTCTAGCTCTCTCGCTAAATATCATATAATGTACTTTAAGTATTGTACTAGGATTGGTTTTGTTGTTATACATTCAAACAAAAAAATTGTGCACTACTGCACACCAGGGCTAAGTAGGTTTGGCTTTATATTTTCGATCGTGGATGGCAAAAACATGCATTCTCAAGAAAAATGAGTGATTTTTTAAACAGATTTTTAGTTGTAAATACAACCAAAAAGTAGCAAAGAATGCATTTCCGGGTATCTAGGGAAAAAATCGGGGGGGGGGGAATGCGCTGGACAACCCCCACCCCCTTGGGAAGAGTTCTAGAACAAAAGACTCACGCCTGCGTCTTATACTTTCAACAGCCAACTAACTTCAAAAGGATTATTTTTTCATCGTAGTGATCTTTTCATTGAAAATTCGAAGGCCCACCCCCCCCCCTTCAAACCCTTCAAACACCTTAATTTGCAAGAAAAACAGGGCACACGAGACGTATTACCTGGTCGCGAAACGTTTCTATATTATTAGCCTCGCGAGCGGATTTCATTAATTTGTGCTCAACTTACCTACGATAAAAAAAAATTCGCGACCCGTAGCTGTCACAATGAAAAAAGGTCATCAAGTGCGATGAATGATCGATCATCACGACAACTTGACCTTAAACTTTCTCCATATGGCCAGGCATAAAATACAATCATCTGCACGTTGACGGGTTGTTTGCACCAACACGGATGAGGCATTACCCGTACGCGATTTATTTTTCCGTACGAAACATTTGCATGAAACTTCACTCGGGCCATCTCGGATTGACTCGAGTGAGTACGATACGAGGAACAAGAGCAGACACTTCGCAATGTCGTGACGCTCGAGTTTTACTATTA